CTGCGAACCCATTCAAACTCAAATCTGAAGTTGCAGAGAAGAATAAGCCTTGACCCGGACTGTTCTTCAGATACTTGAGAATGTTATAAACTGCATGCAAGTGAACATCAGTAGCACATGACAGGAATTGACTCAACCTATTCACTGCAAATGTTATGTCAGGCCTAGTGATGCAGAGATACTGTAACCTACCAACCAATTCCCGATAAGGAGTTAGATCAGGTAATAGGGTGCCTGTTTCCTTATTCAATGGTTCTGTTGGATCCATTGGTACAGGTTTCGGTTTACATCCCAACAAACCTGTATCAGCTAACAAGTCCAGGCAATACTTTCTCTGACAAACTGAGATACCAGCTGCACTTCTTGCTATTTCTAAGACAAGGAAAAACTTTGCTGTACCCAAATCTTTTGTTTTGAAAACATTCCCAAGTGTTGTCTTTACAGAGTGAACAGCAGCATCATTGTTGCTCACTATTAGTATATCATCTACATATACTAATAATGCAATGAAGGAAGTACCTCTCAGCTTTGTGAAGAGTGTGTTGTCTGCATAAGATTGAACAAAACCATCATCCAGTAGTGCTTTAGATAAACACTTGTACCACTGTCTTGACGCCTGTTTAAGTCCATATATTGACTTATGTAGTCTGCACACCGGATTTGGAGGAAGATTGCCATCAGCTGAGGTGTATCCAAGAGGTAAACTCATGTAAATCTCTTCGTCAAGATCACTGTGCAGAAAAGCACTAGTGATATCCATTTGCGAGAGACTCCAATTCTTCTTAGCTGCACAATCTAGAATAAGCTTGACACTAGCCAGTTTAGCAACAGGAGAGAATGTCTCAAAGTAATCTACCCCTTCTTGTTGAGTATAACCTTTTGCAACTAGTCTAGCCTTATATCTTTCTATTGTGCCATCAGCATTATACTTAATAGTATAAACCCACTTGCATCCTACTACATTCTTACCAGGTGGCAAAGAAACAATACTAAAAGTCCGATTCGATTCCATAGAATCCAACTCCACATTCATAGCCTTTTGCCACTGAACAGATGCTATAGCTTGGTGAAAAGTTTTTGGTTCTGTTTCTAAGGAAACTGCAAGAATATAATCTTGGTAGGTAGGGTTTATGTTTGAATAAGAAAGGTAAGAGGAAATAGGATAGGGAGTTGTGAAAATTTTTGCTGGTGGTGAAGAATTGGGAGTAGAAATTTGAGTAAGGGAACAATGATAGTCAGAGAGATAACCTGGTACTTTGGATGGTCGCTTTGGCCTCGCATTAGGCAATGAAACCATGGTTGTCGCTGCAGGCACAGTTTCCACAACAACATTGTCTGCATTGCTAGAGTGTGAAGTATGTGTAGCACTGTCACGAGGTGGTGATGTATGCAATGCAGCAAGTATAACAGCAGGTGG